CCCAAAACATTAATACAAATTGTCAGAGGGCCACTACCTCAAACGACAGCTGGTTTAGATGAACTACTACAAAGAAAACGTTAGACATTGGCCCAGAGGACAACTGCCTTAGACGGCCACTGCACTATATGACATCTGTTCCGGACACCGCCTCCCGAAGGTTCTAGGGTCATCCCCATGCGAACGGTGAGGTGTTCTTATGATGGCAAAGGGCATCTGCATTACCACATGAAAGCTCCGCAGTCGCTGTGTTCAACACGACAACCCAAGGCAACCACTAAATAAAACAATGTTCTAGGGTCTTTGAAGTTGTCTTGTTAACAACACCACCCAAGGCCACCACTGAGGGTGATCGATACACAGGTGACGTCTTTCCATTTGTTCGGTGGCCGTCGACCGTCGTGTTCAACACGACAACTCCGAAGTGGCCATTCTTTGAGACGGACATGACAACAACACCTTGAACCATCGTGTTTGATACAACGACTACGGAATCCCAGGGTGTCAATCTTTTGTTGTTTTAGGCAGGCTTTTGGTTGTCTCAGAGCAGTTAAAATTGAGGGTCATTGTGAACGATCGTGTTGAACATGACGACTGCGACTTCTGCAGTTCAAGGACGGGCTTCGGCTGCCTCAGTCCTGGTCTTTTCAACTGACTGTCGATGCGAATGAACGACCGTGTTGAACACGACGAGTCCAACTTTTGTAGTTCAAGGACAAGCTTCGACTGCCTCAGTCCACGTTTTTTTCGTTGAGTGCTGACGTGAATGATCGTGTTGAACATGGCGACTGACCTAGACGAAGGCAATCGAAGGCCGTCCTTGAATCACAGAAGCCGGAGTCGTCGTGCTCAACACGATCGTTCATGTCGGCAGTTGGCTGAAAAGACCTGGACTGAGGCAGACTAAGCCCATCCTTGAACTGCAGAAGCCAGAGTCATCGTGTTCAACACAATCGTTGACAACGACAATCGTCAGTAGATGGTCATGTCGGACTCGATAAAGGGAAGGTCGGAGATGGAAGCGACGTTTCACTTTCTTGAAGACAGGCTGTATACTGCACACTATATGTTGACATCAGCTGCATAGTACGCGTTATATGTTAACGTCAATAAATCGTAAACAGGGTGAAAAAAAATTATCCACCGTTGATCGTTGAAATCAATGGATCACATCACACTGCTTGCGACGTTGCGCGCGAAACGGACAATCGCAAATAACAAAAAATCAATGACGGGCAAGGTCAGAGGTGGGAGGGGGCTTCACTTACTTGGAGCGCTGTGCTGCTTTCACAAAGTGAAAACTCCCGAGAGACCGCCTTGCAGTCGCAAAAGGTTGCCTACAACAAATGGCGACCAGACCGGAACGCCGCCGTCGAGCACACAAAATGAAAGTTACGGAGGGGACAAACGACATTAAAAAATGATGAGGCGTCGATGCTTGTCGAAATTGGGACAACGTTGGCATTGGGTTGCCTCCCACATGTGCAATTCGCGGAAGTCACAAGGCTGCTTTAAGGCGTGGGCCATCTCACCTGTGGATCCACATGGTCGAGTGGCTGACACTGCGCCGACCACTTTTAAGGTCGTCTTTAAATTCCAAGTACCGAACCATCGGTTTCTGGATATCGGACGACATGTGGGCAGGCATTTCGGACTATATAAAAAGGAGTGGCCCCCTATTTGTCGTAGGGTGGCGGCCAGATCCGTGAGCGGAGCGCAAAGTGCATGCATCGAGTCGAGATAGTAGCATAGGAGGAGAATTTGTGCGGGGGGTTGGTGGGGTCGTATCATTTATGGTGGGGGGAAAATAGGACGATAAATTGTGTGATGGTGGTCGTTGTCCTGTGTGGTGGTGGTTTAGCGATTGGGACATCGGCAGACATTGTCATATAGTGTGCGGTGGTGTCTTAGGGCTTGGGACATCGGCGAAGGACGGCGAACAACAGTGGTAGACGTGGACAGTAGACGACTCGAGTAGAGACAAGCGAACGGTGAGATCTTTCATTTGTTGCAGATGCGACGACAGAGCACTACGTGGCAAATCCCCATACAGCAATCTTCGAGTCATGATCGTGCAAAGCACCCGCCCGCCTTGGTTGTTATGTTGAACACAATCGTGTTCGACACGACCATGGTAGGCGCTTTGGTTGTCATGTTGAACACAATCGTGTTCGACACAATCTTGGTAGGCGTTTTGGTTATCGTGTCGAACACCATCATGTTCGACATGACAACCAAAGGGCCCACCTTCCGGTCAAGCGCTTTGGTTGTCTTCTCGAACACAATGCAACCCTATCGAGTTGTCCTGCTGAATGGGCCGTGTTCGACACGATCATATTCGACACAATCGCGCAAAGCTCCAGTCCGCCTTGGATTGTTGTGTTGAACATGATCATGCTCGACACACAACAAAAACACCTGGAGGGAGGTAGGTGCTTTGGTTATTGTGTTCGACACGACAACCAAAGGCATGCGACAATCGTGTTAGATGCGACAACCAAAGCGTCTGCCATGATCGTGTTCGACATAACAACCAAAGCACCTACCTTCCGGTAGATGCTTTGTTTTTCGTGTGTCGAATACAATCATATTCAAAAGAACTAGAATACAATCATATTCAAAAGAACTATCCGAGGGGAGACACTTTGCGCGATCGTGTCGAGAGAGGAAGCCAAAGGTGCTGACTAATAAAATAGAGAAGAATTTTCCACCAGCAAAGTGGAAAATGGAAGGCAAGGAACCGAAAGAGAAAAACGTGTATGAAGGAATGAAGAGGGAGCCGAACACCATGGTGGAGACACTGGAGCACTTTTATCGTACTGCTGACACGATTGTATTTCTGGGAAATGACATGCAGAGTAAGGGGGCGATATGTAGTTCGACTTCCTCACACAGTTCGTCAACAAGATGGTGGGGACTCAAGAATACTGTGCAAAATTCTTAAAGTTGCTGCCTCTTCATGATGAAGCTCGTGGTTTTGTCTACAAAGTGGGTAAAAATATGACACAAATTTGAGAGTTTTTTTTTTAGATGAAGCCGGAAAACATAGGGGACCGTATGTATGTTGCTTGCCTGCAAGAAGAGGTTACCACAGAGCTCCTTTGGACAACGAGATTTCATTTCTGAACCTGTTGGAGCGTATGTACTTTGATGAACAAATCGGTGCATTCACGCACGCTGCGTATGGAACATATTTCGTAGATAGTGCACACTTCAATGCTGAGGACTCTGACGAAGAAAGTGAGGATGGGACTTTGCAAGCTGATTTCAGGCTTCAACTTCATATATCTGAAATTCTTTTTTCTGCGCACGGTTATTGTCTGAGTTGTCCAAAGAACACGCTTTTCTTGTTGTCATGGGTTGGTTGAAAAATGTAAAATTATCTTTTTGATTTCAACTTCGTTCTCATCTCGCTTAATTTTGGAAACCACTAGGCGTTAGCTAGCATTAGCATTAATGGTCATATTTGTGAATTCCAACTTCTAGACTCTCTTCCTCATAGAGGTTACATGAAATCGCTCGAAAAGTTAGCCACCTTCTTCAAAATGGAATTTCGTCGTCAACATCATCACGATAGATATGACATAGACAAGCCAATAATATCTTTTTAGGGGATTGGTTAATGGAGTGCCAACCCAAGCAGACAATTGTAGTTGTGATGTGCTTACGTTAGGTTTTGTGTCATTGACCGATCAGTTGCCTCCATTCAATTTCTCGCAGGACAACATTCTGCATATGCAACTCAGAATGGCATTTGACTTTTTGTCGATGGTTAAGGACGAATTCACAAATATAGCTGTGATGTGTTTACGTTAGGTTTTGTGTCATTGACCGATCAGTTGCCTCCATTCAATTTCTCGCAGGACAACATTCTGCATTGCAAGTCAGCATGGCATTTGACTTTTTGTCAGTGGTTAAGGAAGAGTTCACAAATTAGCGAACGACTTTGAATTTTTGCCATTTGTATCATAAGATTTGTGTTCATGCAATTTTTCGTACAACAAAGTTTAATAACTTCTTCTGGTTTCAAGTCTTTTACTTTTCAGCTCTATTTTGTGTATCCTCTATTCATTTCCCTCTATTTCACCTGCTCTCCGTTCTCATGATTCTCTGCTTTTTTTCCATTTATCGCCCTTTATTTTGTATGTAATTTTCAACTTAAAAAAAAGTCAACATGAAAACAATTTCACTTTTAACGAAAGCACCGTTAAATATAGGAGCGAGGAAGAAGTGACCACTTTCGGATACCCCTTCATCTGGCGAAACAATACTTGTTAGTTGGAACAGACAAAAATAACATGACATTTTGAATTCTACTTTGCTCTAATAACAAAACCACCACGCCAGAGGCTCTAGGAAACCAGCGGTCAACTTCCAGACCTCTTCACAACTTTCAACAAAGGTCCAGAGGACCTTCCCGAAGACAGGACATATAGCTTCGTTTCCATGCCTTTGAGTGCTGTACTTGTGAACTGCTATTGGATGCTTTTCCATGACAACATCACATTAAGCCTCATTCAGAAACAGGTTCCATTCCAAACTATTGAGGGACCAAGCTCTTTGTGACTGCAAAAGCCGGATTCCATGCAATCGACCCAGGTGGTAGAAAGTTTACTCTGAAACCTTCCCACAGAAGGGAAGAGAGAGACCTTGCCAGAAACAGCCAGCCCACCCCAATAAGTAAATCAGTTAGCAACTTAACATCCCTGAGCGCTATGAAGTAACCCCTCCATGTGGACATAAAAGTTAGGTTTGAGCTCCATATGAGGGCTAAATCAACCCACATTGAGCCATGAGCCAAAGGCGGCCCACCCTTCTTCTTCTTCGTTTGTTTTTTTGTTTCGTTTTTTGTTTTCCTTTGTTTTTCGAGCAGTACACTACTTGTATAACTAACACATGTACACCACGCACTTGTTCTTCTTTTTCAGCAGTATGCAGGTACTGATCACATGCCTGAGTGTGGGACAATTTCAGTTGGGATATGGAGAGGTGGAGGTCACCTTGAAAGATCACAATCCTGGTCATCAGAGGCTTGCCAAAAGTCTCATTTAGAGGTATAGCCCATGTGTCATCTGCAGTAAAGAAGACAGCGACGACAACAGCAAAAAAAGAGACCCAAATCTTCAGAGTCTTTCAGACACAGTGCACAGCAACCACAACAGCAAAAACAGAGACCAAAATCTTCCGACAACAGTGCACAGCCCGCGGCCGGTAAGCTTGAGTGTGTCAGGGGAAACCTGCTGAATCAATATCCCTGCAATTGCAGATCATTCACAGATGCCAACTGAAAGGAAACTGGCTCATACACCACTCCCACTTGGAGCACAAAGGGCGACTCTTCCCATGGTCCAAACACTGCCAGTCAAATTCCCCACAGTGGAAGATCAGAGAAACACAAGAACACCTCTTCCTTCCCTGCCCAAGGGTGGTTAACACGGGAGGCAAACTGGCGATGGGATTGGAAATAGATGCTCCTTGCCCACCACAGGACCTACAGAGGGAGAAAATTCACTGATAAGTTGATAACTGGTATTGGATGGGGAGAAAAGTTGGGAATACACAGGGAGAAATTTCACTGATAAGTTGATAGCTGGCATTGGATGGGGAGAAAAGTTGGGAATATGAATGTCAAGATGCACTCACTCACTCAAGAATGAATCTGTTTTGCTGGGGGACAGGCAATATTGGTAACTCAAGACTACATTTTGTACACGCCTGCTCAGTCAATCCCCTGGGTCCCAGGGCAACCAATCCTGGCAGGCCTCGCTGGACCCGCTTTCCAGCAGGTGGTGCTTCCCACCAATAGATGGGTCCCAGGGCAAGGGCTGTTTGAAAAATAGACAAAAAAAAAAAAAATGCACGTGAGACAAGGGAGAACCATCATAACCTACATCCAAACCACCATCCTGAGAGAATCGCAACAGTTAGTGGACAGCATCAAGCACGTGAGTGAGCCAAATGAAAAGCAATAGAAAATCAACAAATTCTCTAACGAATGGCTGAACAACTCAGAGTTGAGGGAGCTTGCAAGGGTGGAGGGAGAAGCATCATCACCTCAGGGATTCACCTGAGATTTGAAGATTGGACTGACGTTGATCACACATTCCAAATGAGGCACATTCCAAACGAGGCCAGCCATGGGTTTGGGGAAAGGGAACAGGCTCATTGTTTGATCACAGATTCCACTTGAGGCCAGCCATACATGGTTTGGGGGAAGGGAACAGGCTCAGTGTAACATCAGGAGAGGGAACCAGCTTGGATTTCGTGTTCAAAGCTGGGGGCTTGAAGCCAAGCCGAAAAGGCAGCATCCCAACCAACCGACGCTATCTGATCTCTTAGGCAAAAGATCGACACTTTTTCTTAACAAACAGCCTCATCTGATCTTTTTCATCAAGTTTCATGTAATACTGGGACTCTGGACCTGTTTTCCAGCAGGTGCAGCTCCCCACCAATATATTGGAGCCATCTTAACTGCAACTTCCCCCGTAAAGATAGAAGAGCTGCATCGAAGGGGGGGGGGAGGGATTACAAAAAATGCTGTTCAGTGTTTGCACACACACACCTGAGTCAAGGAAACCCTCCTGTTTTTTAGTTAAGGGATGCCATTTCATTGAAAAGCAGGAATTTCAAACCCAATTATCCTTAAACGACCTACAACGTAGACACCAGTCAACCACCAGTGGAGGTGGTGGAGGAAGTAGTGGGTGCTGGTGGTGGTCAGGAAGGAGGAGGAGAAGGAGGAAGTGTCAATCACCTGTCCTAGGCCCATTCAGCGGAAGGCCTACTAGATTTGTTAAATCAAAGCCCGGGAGATACAATGAATCACAGCAAATAGAAGCTTCTTGCGGGTCACAAAACCTGTTGCAGTTTTGATACTTCTCTTGTTGCTGATATGCAAGCTCCTCACAGCTTGCCATCAAGTCCTGATATTGCTGGCCAGATATAGGGGGTCCATCAACGTCAACACCAGCTAAATACTGCCACATTGTGACGTTTACCTCAGCTGAATCACCCTTGCTCAAATACCTCATGCATGCTTCGAAGGCACTTTGTTGCTCACCCAAACGATAGAAAGCATTCAATTCTGCAGCGAGATAGGTCTTTATAGCTGTCAAGGCAACACAGATCAGGCAAATGATCTGGGTTGTAAGGAAATGCTACGTGTATCCTTGTGGCAAAGAGCACTTGACAATAGTAGACAAACCGACTTTAATTCTTAAACAAGATTTGACAAGCTGCAGACTCTATTCATACCAGAAAAATCAGGGTTCAAGCAAATTCATCATGGTTACGATCTGCATGTCCGGATCACCACTGAGTAGATGCTGTTTTGAGCGACTTGGTCACCTCGAACAAGATAAAGCACCGACCCAAATAACATTCAGCACATCAGACATACATGTCATGCATAATCCATACAAAGCCACAAACAAGACCAGCCATTGAATGGATGAAAACTTTTCTTGGTTATCCGTGACAAGGCCAGCAATAACAACAACTCAAGCCAAGGCCAAGCACTGCAGCAAAGTAAACAAATAGTCACAAGCATCAACGATCAGTAAAATGGTGGCATGTATGGGGCCTCCCACAATGGGCCTGGGAGCCGCGGGCATTTGCTTGGGCAGGCCACTTAGCCTCACAGGCCTTTCTAAGGCCTATGACTGTGTAAGAGGGTCTGGGCCATGATGACGCACCAATCGCGGATCAGCATGCCTCGGTGAATATGCACTCAGGCCGTGTACACACCGCCTGGCACACCATGGGAATTCTTTTGCCCGAAATCGTCCAAATGATTAACCAACGACTTTGATAAGTTACGCACGTTAAGTGGGCAGTATGTTGTTCGCATCGTTACCTTCTGCGTAGCACGGCGAACGTGTTCGCGCCCCTTCAGGTAGCTTCGGGATTTTGGGTGCGGGTGCACTGGTGTTTTTTTTTTTTTTTTTTTTTTTTTTTTTTTTTTTTTTTTTTTTTTTTTTTTTTAACAGGTCCTTAT